AAGAGTAGTAGTAATATCTTGAGCAGTCATTTAGTTAATAAGTAATGAATAAAACAAACAGTTATACAGTTTAAATAGTATTATGAAAGCTTCTGGAATAATAAAATAAGAATAAGAATAAAAAAGGATATAAGAAAAGAATTTAAAGAGGAAAAATTAAGAAAAATGAAGAAGTATTTAAACAAATGGAATAAACTTTTAAATAGAAATGAATCTGGAGGAATTAAAAAGAAAATTCTTTTCTAAGAATAAAAAATATTCAAATAAAATGAAATAAATAATTTAAAAAAAAAAAATTGGAAATAATTGAATTACATTAAAATTAAATCAATTTCTTTTTAAAGTTGTGTTATTCTAGTTAAAAGAGAAGAAGGATTAGTAGAAGCTAAAGCTAATGTATAATTATATAACTCTTGAATAGTTGGTTTTTTATTTTTAATTGCTTGAAGAAATGCAGTAATTTCATTTTGATGTTGAATATCATTTAAAGGATGATATCTAATTACTAAATTAATAAAATTAATTTTATTTAAATTTTTAAATAAAACAAACCTCATTTCTCTTCCTGTTAATGAAGAAGCTAATAATTGAATAATAAATTTTAAACGAGAATCACCGAGCATTGAACCACATCCCCATTTCCCTGTTGCAAAAGGTTGCATTACATCACAATCATCATCTGTTTTTTTAATTGCACTAAAAACTTTGTTAAGTTCTCTGTCAATTCCATATTGAGTGTATTGTAATTTTTTATCAACACAAATTAATGCATCAAATATAACAAAATCATGTTTTCTATAATATAAATTTTGTTATTTAAAGAATTTATAAATTTTTTTAAAAAAAACAAAGAAACAAACAATTGTAATGATGCTACATTCCCCTTAAAACTTATTTCAGTTGCATACCCTGTTACTTCAGAATATTGTAATATATTATATATTCTAAATGATTCATTTGCATTTAATACTGGTGCAATTAATAAAGCAACCATACATTCTGGACATTTAATAAACATAATTTCTTCTTGTGAACATCCATCTTCTAGTACATTTCCACCAACTGCTTTTGAAGAAAAAACAGCTTTTAATACATGTCTATTTTCTTTTTCAATTAGTCCATCTACAATTGTAACATTAACAGAAACAGGAACAGATATATTAGACCATTGTGGTGATTCACCATATACTCGTTGATATGTAATTTGTTCTTGAAGAATTGGGTCTTTGTTAATAATTGCTATTCCAATAGTACTAAAATATGCCATATAACATCTTAATTTAGTTGCTGATACTTTATCTACAATACTTAAACATCTTGGAAATTGTTTTGCATCTTGAAATTTTAATGGTAATCGAAATAGTCCAAGAAATGATAATGCAAATAACGATGCTACTTGTAATCTATTTAACCGAAGAATTGAATTAGGTGTTGTTGGAAGAATAAGTGGCGTTGGAAAAAGTTTTGGATGAATAGCTGCTAATGAAGCAATAATTGGGATAGTATCCCTAAAAAAATGGCTACTTTCTATTGGAGGTAATGATTGAAGTAACGACAATGATGCAGGAGATGTAAAAGAATACAGTCTAATTAATTCACTAATATTCGATAAGTTTGAAAGTAATGGAAATATTGAACACCATAACTGAAATGAAGTACAACTAGGGATTGAATAACATGGTAATATTATATGTGTTTCTGAATGAATTATTTCTTGTGGTGTTATTGCAATAAAAGGAATTTCTCCAAAGAGTGGTGAGAAATAAGAACAACTTGGAAGACTTTGAGAAACACTTGTACGTCTTTTCATTTCTTTTTATTAGAAATAATTTTTTAACTGTTATTTGGGAGTTTTCATTAATTTTTGTTTTTTTTTTCTTTTCAAAATTTTATTAAAAAATAAGGTTATTAAAGATTTTTGTGAATTAATATAATTTATGTCATCATCATTGGTATACTATTCAGTAATTATTCATTCTTCTTTTAATAAAACTATTAAATATATTTTAAACATGTTTTAAATTTCTGTTATAAATTGACTAATTATTATTTTTATATTTTATTCAGAACATTCAATTCTTTTTAAATGTTTTGTATCACTTTATTAATACAATTAGATCCAAATCAATAAAACACTTATATTTTGTATGTACAATATATTTCAATCATAATGAATTACTTAATATGTATATTTATTATAAATAATTGTATTATTAACCTTTCAATTGATACTATATCAATAATATGCTTTATTAATACTTTTGATTTATATTGGTATATTAATTTTCAAATAGAAGTAATAAAAAATATAATACTATGTTCAAAAAATAGAAAAATTGTGTATTACTTCTAAAATGAATTTATTAAAAATATTTTATTTATTTAATTCTTTTAAAAAATGGAAATTATTTTTTATACTTTATTATTCTGACAATATAGAACGAATTAATTCACAATATTTACTACAATAAAATCAATTTTCTCTTTCTATAAAATAAAATTGTCTAAGTTATTAGTTTACAAATACAAGTAAATAAGAAAAAAAACAAAGAGAATTTTATGAGATAATAAAAACAATATTCATTTTTCTTTTATCACAATTAATTGGTTATGTTATAAAGTATATTATCAATTTAATTCATTGTATTAATGTTTGGATTAAAATAGAAAAGAATATTTTAAAGAAGACTAAAACAAAATACATGATTATTTAAATAAGTGTTCTATAAAAAAGAATATATCTGAATTCCAACTTTAATGATAATTAAAGATATGTTTCCAATAGTAGTATTAGTTAAATATAATACATATTAAATGAAAACAAATACTACTATTATTATAAAACATATGTTTATTATCAGAACTTAAAGAAAAAAAAAATAAAATAATATGAATAAATACTTCATAATTATAGAAATATCATATTAAACTTCATCAAAAACAATAATACAATGAACTTTTTTTATTGTTTGTTTACGTTCTTCAAAATAATTGGTACATATTATCAAACATTTTGCATAGAAGTTAAAAATTATTCTTGAAACTAAAAATATAAATTAAAGACATAAATTATTTAAGAATATAATGAAATAAAATAGTATTTAGAATTAACACAATTAAGATAATAGAATGTGGTTGTAATTTATAAGGTTTTGAATTAAAAAAAGCTGAAATGAAATAATCATTATTGATATTATAAAAAATTTTAATTGAGATTATGTAGTTTTATAATTTTTGAGAATTACAAGTTTCTTTTTTTTAATTATTTGAATTTCTTATTATCTCTGTTATGAAATCTAGTATAAAGTAGTATCGATTTATGACTAAAGTTATTATTAGTATTAATCTTTATTCACAGTTAAGATAATACCAAAAAAGTTGTACTATTTATTATAATATTGTTTATGTTATTGACTAACTAAATTAATTCACAATTACTCATTCTCTAACTGTTCTCTTATTGTTCACATCCATTGGTTAATATGGACATGTCTTTCTCTTGGTCTGACATTTATTGTTTTTGTTGTACCTAATGTAGTGCATCATTTTTTTCTATTCATTTTATCTTTAAATAATAAAGTGGTGGTTTGATTTTAGGTGCATTCTCTTAACATTCCTTTCAATGAAGTAGAACCATTATTTTGTTTTGAAAAGAAAGTACCTTCTTACTCAAAACAAATCAATTACCATCATTTCCTTTTAAATAAACAATCATCCTCATTATCAAATCCACAAATATAGAGAATATTCTACAAACACAAGCTTTCGTTTTTGTAATAAAAATGTTATTGATTTTTTTTATTAAAAAAGATAAAGAACAATATTAGTAAAAAAAAGGAGAAGTTAGTGTAACATAAGGAGAAAAACAAAAAAAGCTTAAAATAGCAATTAGAAGAGAAAGGACTATCAAAAAGATGAAAAGGTGAACTAGAAACGTTCTCCAATGAGATGTTCTTCTTTATTTGGAATAGCACTGTATAAAATCCTTAAAACTGAAAATCATATCACATTAAATAAGACATGAGAGCACGTATGGTAGGACCAGGAAGTTCTTCTTCCAATTACAAATCAACCACTGATCCATGTAGATTCATGGGATGTGGACCATCATCATCTACTTCATCTGGTTACAGAAAGGGAGGAAATGCTGCTGGACCAATGGCTTCTAAAGGAACATGGGCTGCTACTACTGATATTGGAAAAACTGCAGCAGTTGGAGCTGATACTTATGAAGCTGGTTACAGAAAGGGAGGAAATGCTGCTGGACCAATGGCTTCTAAAGGAACATGGGCTGCTACTACTGATATTGGAATTACAGCTGGTGTTGGAGCTGATACCTATGAAGCTGGATATAGAAGAGGAGCTGATGCTGCTGGACCAATGGCTTCAAAGGGAACATGGGCTGCTACTACTGATTCTGGAATTACAGCACCATGCTCAGGAACTGAACCAATTCCTGATTCATACGAAGCAGCTGCTGTCTTAGCTGAACAAAGAAAACTTGAAGAAGAGGCTGCTAATGCTGCTGCTGAACAACAATAAGTTATTATGTTTTTCAAAGTATTATATTTATAAAATTAAAGAAAGAAAAGATAGATAAAAGAATAAAAAAGGATAAAGTTTTAAAGGAAATAAAAGAATTTAATTAGATAATAATTAACTGAATATAATTTAATTTCTCTTTATCACAAATACATTTTTTTATTCTGAATGAAAGACTTTTGATAACAACGATAGTGGAATAACTGAGATGAATCAGATTTACAAAACCAATGACAAATCTAATCAAAAACGAAAGTCATAATTGTCAGTATAAAGATAAAATATTTTAATATTATTCTTTGAGGGAATTTTTGTAAAATATTTTTATTTATAAGAAACAAAAAAGCATTATAACCATATGGTTATTCTTCAACTCCGTTAATAGTACTCCCTTTATACCCTCCAAATATTTTAACTTATATTAAATAATAAATGAGATCTTCCTAGTATTCTAAGTACAAACTTACTTGCACATTTTTTCATGTTGTCAATATCATTATCAAAAGTAATATCTCCTAATTTTTTTTCTATCCTACTGTTGAATGATTTGATCAAAATGAAATAATAAGATGATAAGTCAAATTCTTCTTTTTTTCGTTTTTTTCTAAAATAACATTTTCTTTAGTTTAAAATCTTTTTTTGTGTTTTTTAAGGTTATAAATTTTTCTTCTTTTTTTAGTATTTAATATTTTTTAAATGTAATAAATTATTTTTAAGAATTTCTAAAATTATTATTCATTCTGTTCTAATAATAATTTAAGTCGTTCAGTCCTTTTTCTCATTATATCTTCAATATCAGTAAACCTAATACCTGCATCTAGTCCTTCATATTTATGTGCTTTATCTAATATATTAGTTAGTCTATCAACAATTGAACAAAATGATGGTCTTTCAATAGTTTCTTGTTGCCAACAAGAATTAATAATTTTTTTAAGAGAGGAAGGCATTGTATTATTAATTTCAAGTCTTTTTCCTTTTTCAACAAATACCTTAATTTCAAATAATGACCTAAAATCTTTATAAGGCTCTTCTTGATAATAAACTTCCCAAGAAGTAATGGCAAATGAATATACATCACATGCAAATGTATATTCATCATGGTAACATTCAGGAGCAAGATATACTGGAGTTCCAAGTCCTTTATCTGTTCTTTTGTTTGATTTTTTAGTCATTCTTGAAGTACCAAAATCAGTAATTTTAATACAACAAGCAGACTCTGGATCAAAAGAATTAACTAAGAGATTATCAGGTTTAAGGTCAAGATGCATGATATTATTTTCATGTAAAAATTGCATTCCTCTGGCAGTATCAAATAATATTTTAATTTTTAGTTTAAATGGGAATCTAATAAAATTTTCATTATCTTTTCTTACATATTCACCTAATGAGCCTAAAACAAAGAATTGCATTACCATTGATATTTGTGGTAAATATGTAACTGATCCCATATAATTTGCAATAAATGGATTTCTTAATTTACTCATCATTTCACATTCTGCAATTACTTCTTCTTTTAATTCTATTATTTCTTCTTCTGTTAAATTGTCCCAATGAAATTCTTTTACAGCTACGGGAACACTACGATATTCTCCAATATATACTTTACCCATTGCCCCTTCTGCAATAGGTATTTCTCTTATATTTAATTCATCATAGTCAAGAAAAGTTGATGATGAAGCATCAGTCGCAATAGTAAACTGATAATGCATTCTTTTAATACAACCTGTTTTAATAGTTTTATCAAGTATTAATTGGTTTTCTTGGTTCCATTCTTCAAATGTTTTATTCTTTAATAAATCCGCTATCATTTCTAAACTTTTCTTACACTTAGAAAACCAAATTGTATATGGAATTTTTATATTTTTTATTTTTGTTGTACAATGGAGAGTCATAAACACTGTTATTTTCTTTGTAGATTTTGATGAAACAAATTTTACTTGAGGATCAAAATAAAATACAAACTTTGGATTGTTTGGAGTATGGAATATGATCATCAACCATTTCTTTTTAGAATGGTTCTTAATTACAATATTTTCAAATCTTGTATCAAAAATATCAGTTGAGTTTGATGAATTTCCAAAGTCTAGTTCAAGAGGTTCTAAGTAATAATTATTTTCTTTAGAAGGACCAGATTTACTTGATCCAGATATATAATAATAATAATTTGGTTGTTGTTGTTTGTAAACTTCAATATCAACTTTTTTTGATTTAATGAAACAAGATAAAAGAATAAAGAGAAGAATAATAAATATTAAAACTATTATAGTTCCAGTAATAATCAATGTACTAACTAACATCCAGTCAACACCTTTTTTACTACAACTTAATGGGTCTTTTTTATTTTGTTCATATCCATCAATGCACTCACAAAATTGATTACAATTAGTTCCGCTATCACATTGCTCTCTTCTTTTTCCATTCAAATTATCAATTATAGTATCAATTCTCTTATTCCCACACTTTTTTGGAATACAACGAGAACTTCCTTTCAATGGAACAAATCCATTGAGACAGGAACAAGTTTGAGAACATCCTTCATTTTTTCTTAAGCATTCAATATTAGAAGTCAATACATTATTATAACAGTCTTCATGAAGACAATAATGATCAACTAAATAATATCCTTTTTTACAAATACAATTTTCCTCACAGTTTGATGAGCCATATTTACATAAATTTGAAAAATCATTAACTTGCCAACGTCCTTTATGATAACATTTTAAATGGCAATCAGCTCCACCATACCCATCATTACAAATACAATTCTGTTTTATTGCTGAACAATTTCCATGACCTTTATCATTATTACAATTGTCAATACAAATTGGTTTAAAAGTTACAGGAATATCAATGTTTAATTCGTTTGTAAGCAATGCAAAATACCTTTTAGTTAAAATAGGATTACCTTCTATCCTTAAGTTTAATCCATTTTTTATTCCAGAATCTTTTGAAATTCTATAATGTGTCGCACCCCATAACTTTTTACATTGAACTATATTTGAAGAGTTTATTGTATATTCTTGAAGGTATCTAATCCTATTTTCTTCTATTGTACTAATGTGAATAGAAAAATTTCCAGAATATTCAATACTAAATCTTATAACTTTAGTCATTGTTGTTGGCATACAAATAGGATATGTATATCTTCCTTCATTTCTCATATGAAAAACATGTCTATAATGTGTATTTGTTTTAACCATTTCATCAATTTGTTTTTGAGTTAATTCAAGGGACATCACCCTTTCTTTTCCTGTTAGCTCTTGTATACTAATTGAAATACTAGCAGATGCATTATCTTCTACAAAAGCAAAAATATATAATTTTGACATTTCTTGGATGTCAAATTCAAGAGGAATTTGCATTATTCCAGTACTTTCATTTGTTGTCAATAAAAATCTTGTTAAACATTGTGGGTTATTATCTTTAGCTGATGATGAAGTGGTATCAATGTAAATAGGTGATTTGTTGTTTTGGTCTGTATATTCCAAAACAATATTAATATTATCTGTAATGTTTTTGAGTTTTGATAAGTCAACAACAAGCCAATGAGATTTTTTAAAAGAAGAAGTTCCAATACCATTATAACAAGGTCCTTGATCATATGGAGTAGAACTGTTAAACGTTATAACAATTGGATCAGAGGAATTAATTTCTTTAATACCAGTACTAGGAAGCCAATGAGTTTTACTAATTGTATTTTTAATGAGTGAACATCTACCGTCTATCATGATATATAAAGGATTAGTTGAGTTAATTTCAGAGTATGGATTGACATGTTTACATGTAATACATGATGTATCATTAGAATATCCAGTAATACAACCATCACATGTATAATCTGCTATACAACTATTAATGCAACCAGGAGAACATTTAAAACAATACACATAATTTATAAAAATTATAATGAGTAACATTTTGGTTGATATTTAGTGTCTAGAATAATTGAAGATTTACTTTTTAGGTAATGAGAAAAGATTAGTATTTAAAAAAACAAATAAGAGTAATAAAGAGTTTAATTAATTTTGAATGTTTAATAAATTAAACTTATCTTGTTTCTTTTTTATTTTTAATCAGGGTATAAGAAGGAATTATTATATTGAAACATAGTTGACAGATATTTTGAAAAGATTTAAAATCAAATTGAAGTTCTAATATTCTCAGGAAATTTAATTTCTTTTTATTTCTAATTTTAGAATAAGAACTGAGGAATAATTTATTATTATTTTCTTCAATATCATATATAAAACTATAGTCTTAAACTATGCACCCATTTTAATAAATTTCTGAATGATTTGAACTTTGTTCAAAAAGATAGGTTTCAGGAATACTTTGTTGTTTACAGATATATAATTAAATTTGTTAGATATGTTGTGTAATTTTGAAGACATAACAAAGATATTTCAAAGGGTTAAGTATATGAATGTTCTTTTTTAACAAATGCTCAGTTAAAACTTATTACAACATTTTTTAATGAGAAAATTCATTAATTAGACTCAAATATCTGAGCTAAAAATAAATTAACTCATTTTTATTCACAACTTTTCTTATTTATTTGTTTAAAGTATTATTAGTATTATACTAACAAGAAAACAACATTGGATATTCTTGTTTAAATATTAATAATATTTTTTTTAAGATAATGGATGATGAAGAATCAGACTTGTTTCATATTTATTAAGGAATATATACTTGATTATCAATCAAATTCAATACATTTTAAATTATTGCGTAAAAAGTAGAAAAGCGAGTCTTTAATAGTATTGAAAAATTCAAATAATAAAATTCTTAGTATTGATTTAAATATACTACAACTTCAATTATATTTTTGGATTAAAAAAATTATTATTTCTATCATAAACAAATGAATTTAAAAAAAAACATACAATGAATTTTTATTTGACTGAGTAAAAAATTAATAATTATTTCAATGATGAATTTAAAAGTATTATTTTATAATAATAACGATATATTAGAAAAGAATGAAATGTTATCAATTTTGATGTTTATGTAGTTTTTTACATAAAAACATAAATGTAAATGAAAGATTGTCATGTCTATTTATCTTCTGGTACAGCAACACTTCCATTAACACTTCTCCATGAATCTGGAACACCTTTATGTGTTACTATTGGACTACAGCCTGATGGATAATAAGCAACTCCATTATTAAAAGAAAGTTGATCAGGAATGAAACACATTCTTTGAGTACATTTTTCAATACTTAAATGAAGGTTATTACTAACAAATTCATTAAGAGTTAATAAATTTAATAAAGTTTGGTCATATCCCCATTTACTTACATATTCAAATTCAATTAAATCATTCCATTTATTAAGAAATTGTATCATTTTATGAATACCACCCATTCCTAAACCACCATTTAAACCAACATTACCATTTTCCATAAATTTTTTAGTCATTTTCTTTCCTTTAAAATTTAACATCCAAACAAAATGAGGATATCTATTATAAAAAGTAAAATTCTTTGTTCCAGTACTTTCTGCAAGCCAATACAAATCATTTGATGAAAATGTTTTAAAAATATCAGTAAAATAAAAAACATCTCTTAAATCACTCCATATTACTCTATCATATTGGTTTTGATGATTTTTTAAATATTCTAAGGCTAATGGTATTCTTGCATTAACACCATTCCAATTTTCGTATTTTATATCACCAGGTACTTCAATAACATTAAACCTTTTCATTAAATTTGAAAATTCCAATGGAATCTCTCCAATAGTAAATACAACAGCAGTGACATTAGGTAATGACGCTCTCATTATCGTTAATGTTTGTTCTATTTCAAATTGTTGAATATTCCATAAAGGTGAATGTGCATGACTATACATTATTAAATCTCTTTGTGAACTTGGTGGATATTGAAATAATTCTCCACATTTTCCATTATAATTAAAATGAGGTAAATCAATAAATGGTAAACGGGTCAATGTAGCATTGTTATACTTATGAAATTGAATATTATTGAATGAAATAAAAAAATAAGACAGTATTATAATAGTTAATGAAAGACTCCAAATAAAAATATTCATTTAATTTTTTTTTTAAGTTCTTTTCTTATATAAAAGGAAAAGAGAAATAGAAAAATAATAATAATGAATTATAATAAAGACATTTTCATTAATGTAAGAAATTTGATTTATTTGTTATAATAGCTATTTGTAAATTTTTTTCTATAATTTAGTTATTACAATTAAGATTTTTTTAAGTATTTCAAATTTTCTTTCAAACACAAAATAATGGTTGGTTTGTATTTTGTTATTTTTTGATAATTTGTTATCTATCACCACCTTCCTCTTTTATAAAAATTTCTTTGTTTTATGTTTGTTTCAATTTCTTCTTTATTTAAACAATTTTATTTTAACCATTTTGTTATTGGTTTAAAAAATTACATTTTTTTGAAAAGATTTTTTAAATTGTCTTTTTTATTCTTAAAACAGCTGCATAATTTATATTTCTTCTTAAATTACTAAGTACTTCTTTATTTTTATGATAGAATGACTCTAGTAATAATAAAATAAAATAAAATGTTATAATGTGTTATGAGAATATTTAAGTTTATTTTTTGTTTAATATAATATTTAAAAACAACATATTCAAGAAAATAAGAAAAGGAAAAAAGGAATTAAGAAATAATAATAATAAAAATAAGGAAAAATGATAAGTTTAATAGTAAAGTATTCTCTATTTTTAGTTATTAATTAAAATCTAAATTAAGAGGTAAAAAATAAACATTAATTTTTTTATTAAATAAGAATATGTACTACACATATTTTTATTCTTATAATAAGAAATTTCTAGTAAGGAGTTTATACTAAAAACAATCATTCAAAGAAAAAAAAAGAAAAAAAACTATTTAAACAGAATAATTAATAGAAAGGAATAATTAAAAAGATATTTTAATAATATGAAGTAAAGAAATAGAAATGAATTTATTTATTTTAAGACTTATAAGAATAAATAAGTTCAATATTTCATTTTAGTAATTTCAATTCAAAGTATATAATAAAAATAAAAAATTTTATAAAATGTAATAAGAAACTAAAATTAATAGTTTATCGTCTTATTTTAAGATGTCTGAAAGTTATTTAGAAACAACAATACAGACAATTCCTATGATCAGAATAAAAGTTCCTATACCAAAGAAGATAAAGTTTTTCCATCCTCTAACTTCTCCAAAAACAAATATTCCCCAAATTTGTGATAATAATCCAGGGCCAGAAGTAATTAATGGGAAAGAAACAACATAAGGTAAATTGGAGTTAGCAATAAACCAACATACTTGTGCAACACCCCACATCATTCCACTAACAATACCAGGGAAAGTAGTTTCTTTATACATAAATGGTTTATTTCTAAAACAGATTGCATAACAAATGAAATATAATGTTGATGAAATGAAAATACCAAGGAAATGAGAAAGGACATAATCTATTCCATTTGGAGATGATAATCCATTATCTTGTAAATATTTGGGTGGATCAAAATTGGAACCAAAGAATATTCCTGCAATTAATGCTAAAACAACTCCTACTATTCTTTGAAGGAATACTGGCATTGACTTGATCATTATAAATATTGGTGATTCTTCTTGTTCTACTGGTTGTGGATGTTCTTTGATTTCATTAGTTTCTTCTGGTTCATTTGTTGGAGATGGTGCTTGATTTTCATCATTTTGTTCTGTTACATGAGATTCTTCTTTATTTTCATCCATCTCTTGAATTACTTTATCTACTTCTGGATCTTCTGCTGGTGCTTCTTCAGCTTGTGGATCTTTACTTGTTTTTGTTTTAATCAATGCATAACATGGAACAGAAATTGCAGCTAATATTGCTCCTACAATATTTAACCAAAAGATTTTAACATCATTTTTATCTGCATGAAGTCCAAATAATCCAAAAGTACCTGTAATCCATCCAGTTACCATATTACCAATTCCCCAAATAGCTGGTCCTAATGACAAACCTATCATTTGTAAACTTGGGACACACAATAAATTACCTGTACACCATAATGCACCTCCTAACATTGCAAATGGTTCAAAATAAATTGGACCTTCCATAGTTGCACCACGAATTAACATTGTAAATGTTCCAATAATTAAAATACCAATTGACATCATCCATTGTAAGAAAAATCCATCTCCTGCTGGAAATTTTTTAACAACAATCCAATTACTGCCAAAGAATAAAATGGCAATAAGCACACAAATATATCCAACTACATCATTTTTACTTTCTGCCTCAGAAGGCATCATAGAAGAACTTGAGCTATTCATCGAAATCTTAATTGCTAATTTTGAGTGCATTCCCCCTTTTTATTTCAATGAAAGAAACATTTAGAAATTTCTCATTTCATCCTTTTTGTTAGTTTGAATAAAGTTGATGAGTGGAGTATTGAATTGTCATATCTTAGTTGTACTATTTACGAAATCATGATTGATAATATTCTATCCAAAGTGGTACATTTTCATAATAGTTATTGATTTATCCATAAATTTAGTTTCACTACGTTATAAAAATATACCAAAAATTATTATAGAAAAAAAATTATCAACATTACTATTTTTCTTTTATTTTACATTGATTATCGTAAATTTAGTATTAATAATCTTATATTATGATTCAAACAAAATAACTCTTGTTAATTGTAAGAAGTTTACAAAAATTGGTATGAAAATTTAAATAGAAAAGTGTTAATTAACGATAAAAATAGCAGAAATGCAACAGAAGAGTTCACCGAAAATTCTTATGTAGTACAATCTAATCAATACAAATACTTGTTAGTCAAATTTAGTAATTTAAAAAAAACGAAGAGAATAAAGGAAATCAATATGAAAAAATAAAATTAATGAATGAAAAATATTTTAAAAGAATATTCATCATTATAATAAAAGAACAATCATTCGAAAAAAAGATGTTATATGAATATAATCAAATATGTACTATTCTAAGGAGATAATAGAATTCTGAAAAAAATTATGATAAGAATGAAAACGAACGAAAAAATGGTTAGCTGGAAAATATCATCAAAGTCTAGAATATCTACGAACAGAGAAAAGATTATTCTTATGAAAAAGAAGGACTATGGAATAAACAAACATGTTCCTTATTTAACAATTACAACGGTAGAGTCTAGAAACGAATAATTCAAATAAGCACTCATTATTAAAAATTATGATAAATATCAGATTTCTTGAGGAAAGTAATGAACTAATAAAAGAAGAAATGGTAGTATAAAGGAGAAAATAAGATAATATTGATGAAAATGAAATTAAAATAAACTGAAAATCAAAATGAATTGAAAATCAAAATAACCTTCTAGACAATGTAAAAAATATTAATCTGGAATTCAATGTTACATGCTAATAAATGTTTCATATGTAATATGTATAATTAAATACAGTATTACAATGTCTGTGGTTTATTATAGATACATACATTCAACCAAAAATCATAAAAACTATTGAATTATTCATTTTTATTTTAAATAACTTAGAAATATATTTTAATAATCTTTTATCATTTCAAATAAATAATACTTATTGGATTTTATTTATTAGTATATTTTTAAAGAAAAAGATAGTTTTCACTAAACCTATTGTTAAAATATATAATTTAAATTACTTGTTCATCATAAAATTTACAAATATTTGTCAAATATTCTTTATTTAATGAGAGTTTAAAATAACAACATATTATTAAATACATTGGTTGTAGTTTAATTTTTTTAACATTACTAAGTGGGTGTAAAACTTATGTCAAATATTAAAATAGTTTATTTGCTGACAGTATAAAAAGAAATATAAATTAATAATATCGAATAGAAAAATAGGTGATTTCTTCTATAAATTTGATAAGAATATTAGTGATAAGAATATATATTAATAAACTGTTTAACTAAATTGTATTTAAAGTATTAAAGTATTAAAGAAAAACAGAAGAAGAAAATATACTTAATTCTCTATAATTAATTCTATTATACTTTTAATAATACAGGTGCAGTTTTAAACTTCTTGAAACTTATTAACTCTCACAAATCATCTTTAAATAGTATTAATTTATTTTTAGTTCTCTTGTTTAATAGTTCAGATATTATTTCTACTAAAACATTATTCAGTTAATAAATAATGGTATGTATTTATTACTAAAAGAAAGGTATGAGTTATATGAGTTAATGAAACCTAAAATATTATTGATACTGGATGTTAGCATAACTGTAAAATAAATGTTATAATAATGAGATGGGTTATTATAATACAATAAATAAGTCATACAAAAGAAAAGAAATTGAAGATAGTAGAAGAATGAAGTGACTTCCAATAAATAAATTGAAGATAGACAGAATGTAAAAAAAATTTAGAGAATAAAAAGAGATATAAACTATGGAAAGAAGTATTAACAGAAAATAGAACAATAATAAATCAATTATGATTAATCTCGTCTTTATGTTTTCATCATGTTGACAAGTCAGTAAACCAGTTTCTTCAACATGCTTTATTTCTATTGAAATATTGTTTTTTTCAAGCATGCTCGACTTAAATAGTTCTCATTTAAGTCGCTGTCTGATATTTATTTTGATTTTAATGAGTAATATAATAATTTCTCATTCTTTGTATTGTTGTTTTAAGGAGAGTATATACATATCATAATGATTATGACTCATCTCCTTCGACACCCCTTAAAGAAACCCTATTCCTTGTTAATATCTTTATATTCAAATGTACATACAACATTAACAATAATATATGAGTCTTCTTTAATAAATTATAATTCTTAACACATAATATACCCTTAGTAAATAATAATCCTTATGAATAATCATGAATAATAATCTTTCTAAATAATCACTCATAATAAATATTAATAATAATAACCAGTTAGTTTTGAATTGATATTATCTCACCAAATGAATGACATGAATAGATGATAACAGGAAGATTTAAAAATAACAATACTTTAGTATTCCATGAGGTGTTTCTGATATGCTATCTTCGAATCGGGTGTTATTGTTATAAACAAAAAGAAACCAGAACAAAAGAGAAATACTCAAGCAGCCACGTGTTAATAGAATTAGTTTATATTATTCCTTGTTCATTTCAGAAAAATAAAATACACTTTTCTTCTAGTAACTCTATAAAATATGTTTGGTTATGTATTTATATTGTTCAATAATATCAGTTATGTTTTTAATGGTACTGTTTCTAACTTCTTGTATATTGGCAATTTTCATTTTCAATTCTTTATTTAATTTAATATTCTCTATATTTCATATTCATTTGTTTCAATTTATTCTTTTTATTTATTATTTACATTTTATCTTTATTCTTTATTTCTTTATACTTATTTATTTTCTTCTTCCATTTTCATTGTTATTGTGATCTGCTACATTATTCATATCATTTATTAGACTCGTTTTACTCTTTTTATCTATTACTTATATTTTATCTTTGTTTTTCTTGTATTAGTTTTATATTATGTCAATGATTATTTCCAGTTACTAATTTTCATTAAAATTAAATTTAATTCATTTATTGTTATTATGACACTTCATAATTGAAATATCTTTCATTCAGTATGGTGATTTATTTTATTTTTCCAATTATCTTTATTTAATTTCACCCGTGTTTCATATAATGATTTCAAATATTCTAAATTAATATCGTTATTTTGGTATATTTCATTTTTGTTTCTTATTCTAATTTTCATAAGAGATGAACTTGATGAAATAAAAGAAATCCTAAATAATATTAATAGACTGGAAGATCTAGTCAATGAA